AATAATGTTGAAGGATAAGCTATGGCAGGAAAAGAGGGACTACAAATGTATAAATTCAAGGATTATGTGGAGTAAAATAAAGATTGCATGTGAAAAGTGGGTTATAGTAAGCGTGTATGCACCTGGAGAAGAGAGAAGTGTAGAGGAGAGAGATTCTGGGAAATGTTGAGTGAATGCGTGGGGAGTTTTGAATCAAGTGTGAGAGTAATGGTGGTTGGGGATTTCAATGCTAAAGTGGGTAAAAATGTTATGGGGAGTAGTAGGTAAATTTGGGGTGCCAGGGATAAATGTAAATGGGGAGCCTTTAATTGAGCTATGTGTAGAAAGAAATTTGGTAATAAGTAATACATATTTTATGAAAAAGAGGATAAATAAATATACAAGGTATGATGTAGCACGTAATGAAAGTAGTTTATTAGATTATGTATTGGTGGATAAAAGGTTGATGGGTAGGCTCCAGGATGTACATGTTTATAGAGGGGCAACTGATATATCGGATCATTATTTAGTTGTAGCTACAGTTAGAGTAAGAGGTAGATGGGAAAAGAGGAAGGTGGCAACAACAAGTAAGAGGGAGGTGAAAGTGTATAAACTAAGGGAGGAGGAAGTTCGGGCGAGATATAAGCGACTATTGGCAGAAAGGTGGGCTAGTGCAAAGATGAGTAGTGGGGGGGGTTGAAGAGGGTTGGAATAGTTTTAAAAATGCAGTATTAGAATGTGGGGCAGAATTTTCTGGTTATAGGAGGGTGGGGGCAGGAGGAAAGAGGAGTGATTGGTGGAATGATGAAGTAAAGGGTGTGATAAAAGAGAAAAGTTAGCTTATGAGAGGTTTTTACAAAGCAGAAGTGTTATAAGAAGAGCAGAGTATATGGAGAGTAAAAGAAAGGTGAAGAGAGTGCAAAAGGAGAGCAGATGAAAGAGTGGGAGAGGCACTGTCAAGAAATTTTAATGAAAATAAGAAAAAATTTTGGAGTTAAACAAGTTAAGAAAGCCTAGGGAAAGTATGAATTTGTCAGTTAAAAACAGAGTAGGGGAGTTAGTAGATGGGGAGAGGGAGGTATTAGGTAGATGGCGAGAATATTTTGAGGAACTTTTAAATGTTGAGGAAGAAAGGGAGGTGGTAATTTCATGCACTGGCCAGGGAGGTATACCATCTTTTAGGAGTGAAGAAGAGCAGAATGTAAGTGTGGTGGAGGAACGTGAGGCATTACGTAGAATGAAAGGGGGTAAAGCAGCTGGAACTGATGGGATCATGACAGAAATGTTAAAAGCAGGGGGGGATATAGTGTTGGAGTGGTTGGTACTTTTGTTTAATAAATGTATGAAAGAGGGGAAGGTACCTAGGGATTGGCGGAGAGCATGTATAGTCCCTTTATATTAAGGGAAAGGGGACAAGAGAGATTGTAAAAATTATAGAGGAATAAGTTTACCGAGTATACCAGGAAAAGTATACGGTAGGGTTATAACTGAAAGAATTAGAGTTAAGACAGAATGTAGGATTGCAGATGAGCAGGGAGGCTTCAGAGTGGGTAGGGGATGTGTAGATCAAGTGTTTACATTGAAGCATATATGTGGACAGTATTTAGATAAAGGTAGGGAAGTTTTTATAGCATTTATGGATTTAGAAAAGACATATGATAGAGTGGATAGAGGAGCAATGTGGCAGATGTTGCAAGTATATGGAATAGGTGGTAAGTTACTAAATGCTGTAAAGAGCTTTTATGAGGATAGTGAGGCTCAGGTTAGGGTGTGTAGAAGAGAGGGAGAATACTTCCCGGTAAAAGTAGGTCTTAGACAGGGATGTGTAATGTCACCATGGTTGTTTAATAAATTTATAGATGGGGTTGTAAAAGAAGTAAATGCTAGGGTGTTCGGGAGAGGGGTGGGATTAAATTATGGGGAATCAAATTCAAAATGGGAATTGACACAGTTACTTTTTGCTGATGATACTGTGCTTATGGGAGATTCTAAAGAAAAATTGCAAAGGTTAGTAGATGAGTTTGAGAATGTGTGTAAAGGTGGAAAGTTGAAAGTGAACATAGAAAAGAGTAAGGTGATGAGGGTATCAAATGATTTAGATAAAGAAAAATTGGATATCAAATTGGGGAGGAGTAGTATGGAAGAAGTGAATGTTTTCAGATACTTGGGAGTTGACGTGTCGGCGGATGGATTTATGAAGGATGAGGTTAATCATAGAATTGATGAAGGAAAAAAGGTGAGTGGTGCGTTGAGGTATATGTGGAGTCAAAAAACGTTATCTATGGAGGCAAAGAAGGGAATGTATGAAGGTATAGTAGTATCAACACTCTTATATGGATGTGAAGCTTGGGTGGTAAATGCAGCAGCGAGGAGACGGTTGGAGGCAGTGGAGATGTCCTGTCTGAGGGCAATGTGTGGTGTAAATATTATGCAGAAAATTCGGAGTGTGGAAATTAGGAGAAGGTGTGGAGTTAATAAAAGCATTAGCCAGAGGGCAGAAGAGGGGTTGTTGAGGTGGTTTGGTCATTTGGAGAGAATGGATCAAAGTAGAATGACATGGAAAGCATATAAATATATAGAGGAAGGAAGGAGGGGTAGGGGTCGTCCTCGAAAGGGTTGGAAAGAGGGGGTAAAGGAGGTTTTGTGGGCGAGGGGCTTGGACTTCCAGCAAGCGTGCGTGAGCGTGTTAGATAGGAGTGAATGGAGACGAATGGTACTTGGGACCTGACAATCTGTTGGAGTGTGAGCAGGGTAATATTTAGTGAAGGAATTCAGGGAAACCGGTTATTTTCATATAGTCGGACTTGAGTCCTGGAAATGGGAAGTACAATGCCTGCACTTTAAAGGAGGGGTTTGGGATATTGGCAGTTTGGAGGGGTATGTTGTGTATCTTTATACGTATATGCTTCTAAACTGTTGTATTCTGAGCACCTCTGCAAAAGCAGTGATAATGTGTGAGTGTGGTGAAAGTGTTGAATGATGATGAAAGTATTTTCTTTTTGGGGATTTTCTTTCTTTTTTGGGTCACCCTGCCTCGGTGGGAGACGGCCGACTTGTTGAAAAAAAAAAAAACTGCATACTGGGTAATATGAAGGCCTAATGTATGTATGTATGTATCAGCAAAAAAGGAATGTACCAGAGTATGGTGGTATTTGGGTGAGAAGAATGGATTTTAAACACAGCAATGATGCCAGAGGCAAAGGGATCTTGCATTTGTGGGAAATGTGTGATATGAATATTTTGCAGATAATTTGGAGAATGGCGGTTAAAAGGTGTCAGGCACTCAAAGGTGTAATTCAGAGGGCTGAGAAAGGGTTGCTGTGTTGGTTTGGACACTTAGTAAGGATGGAACAAAACAGGATGACTAAAAAAGGTTATATTAACCTGGGATGGAGGGGTAGGGGCAGTTTCAGGTAGGACTGTAGGAAAGAGGTTTTGTGCACTAGGGGCTTGAACATCTAGCAGGGTTGTTCAAGTAGAGGAAAGTGGTTTTTGTGACCCAACATGCTGCTGGAGTGTAAGCAAGGTAATACTTATGAAAGAATTCAGAAAACTAGTTAGGTGAAGTTGAGTCCTTGAGATGGGAAATATAGTGCTGCACTCTAGAAGAGTGAGGAAGCTCCAGTTCATAGGGTCATCTGAACTGTGTGGTCAGCATCCTTCTAGCTAGACAGCAACTGAATGAATGATGATGAGTGTTTCCTCTTTTTTGAGTCACCCTACTTTGTTGGGAGATGGCTGGTGTGCTTAAAAAAATTATAACCTTATTTACTTTGAAGCATGGGCTGTGAATGTTACAGAAAGAAGGAAGCTGGAGGCACTAGAGATGCATTTCAAGGCAATGTGTGGTGTGAATATTATGCAGAGAAATCATAGCTTGGAGATTAGAAGGTACAGGATTACTAGAAGTATTATTCTGAGAGCTGAAGAGGGGTTACTGAGGTTGTTTGAACACTTAGAGAGGATGTGATGAATGGTTTGAAAAACCGACAAGTTGAAGATTGAGACACTTATGCAGCATATGGGAAACTTTATTCAGGAAACGTTTCGCCACACAGTGGCTTCATCAGTCCAATACAAAGAGGAAGGCGTAAGGAGAGGAGGAGTATGAGGTAATCAGTTCCTCAACCTGGAGTCGATGTGTTCAGTCCATCAATCTTGTAGATTGATTGATCAATCTTGTAGATTGATGGACTGAACACATCGACTCCAGGTTGAGGAACTGATTACCTCATACTCCTCCTCTCCTTACGCCTTCCTCTTTGTATTGGACTGATGAAGCCACTGTGTGGCAAAACGTTTCCTGAATAAAGTTTCCCATATGCTGCATAAGTGTCTCAATCTTCAACTTAGAGAGGATGGAACAAAATAGGATGACTTGGTGTATAAATCTGTAGTGGAGGGAAGGTGGAGTAGGGGTCATCCTAGGAAAGGTTGGATGGAGGGGGTAAAGGAGGCTGTGTGCGTGTGAGGGGCTTAGACATCCAGCAAGCATGTGTGAGCATATGAGATAGGAGTGAGTGAAGGCAAGTGGTTTCTATGACTTAATGTGCTGTTGGAGTGTGAGCAAGGTAACATTTATGAAGGGATTCAGGAAAACTGGTTAGCTGGACTTAAATACTAGAGGTGGGAAGTACAATGTGCTGTAGTAGAGGGGTGGGAGATATTTGCAGTTTTGAACTGTGGTATTGGCAGGCCTCTAGCAAGACAGTCCTGGAATTAGGAAGTACAATGCCTGCACTCTAAAGGAGGGGTTTGGGATATTAGCAGTTTGGAGGGGGTATGTTGTGTATCTTTATACGTGTATGCTTCTAAACTGTTGTGTTCCGAGCACCTCTGCAAAAACAGTGATTATGTGTGAGGTGATAGTGTTGAATGATGATGAAAGTATTTTCTTTTTGGGGATTTTCTTTTTTTTTTGTGGGTCACCCTGCCTCGGTAGGAGACGGCCGACTTGTTAAAAAAAAAAAAAAAAAAAAAATTATTACATCTACTATAAATACATTTAGGAAAAATATTACCTGACAGCAGGATACTCGCCAAGAGTGGCACAAACAGTTGCTATCTGCTCAGCCATGCGTTCCAGTGTGGTTTGCCTTGTCTGGGCTTGTGTAGGGCTGTAATATGATAGAAATGCCTTGGGACAATCCAATGAAAATACCTGTTGAAAGAAAGAATCATCAATAAACTTTATTTATGGCACCTCAAGGGAAAAAAGCATATGAGAAGCAAGGACTATTTAAATGTGCGTATCTAGTATGTACGTACACTCAGCACCTGTTAAACAATATAGGATGCAAAAAACTGACCAATGTGGGATCCCATCATTTCACAAAGCAACAAAAGTATGACAAATCCTTATCACCCAGGCAAAAGCAACCAATTTATCCAAGGCACACCCCTAAGAATTTATTATAAACACATGAAATCATAAAGCATATTAAGCTAAGTCAAGATTGTTTCAAAAAAATAATGCTTAACCCTTTCAGTGTCTGTCCCATAGTATTACGGCTTGAGAGCCAGTGTCGATCCCGTAATACTACGCCAAAATTCTTGCTCCTTCAAATCTGGTGGAAGAAAGCTAGTAAGACTACATATGAAAGAATAGGACTGCATGGTTAGTGTGCACAGTATAAAAAATCCTGCAGCACACAGTGCATAATGAGAAAAAAAACTCCAACCCTGTTTTTGGTTTACAACAGCAACTATGCAGTGTATTTTTGTATGGTATAAAAAATCCTGTGGTATGCAGTGCATGAGAAAAAAAACAACTGACTGTTTTTGGTCTAAAATGCCAAACTTGAGCTGTATTTTTGTATGGTATTTATGGTTGTATTCTTATTTTCTTAGTCTCATTTGATAGAATGGAAGATACATTACAAAAATAGAGATGATTCTGATTGGTTTCATGACGATAAGTACCTAGAAATTGAGCTCAAATAAGCGAAAATGTTCGATTTTTGCCAATGTTCAGGAGTAAACAAATGACGTCACTGTCCAATATGTGTCCAACTGGCCAGTCTAATATGCCGTCATGAATGGGACGACATTATTTATACAATTATTACAATAATGCAGTTGTCTGAATAACAGTAAATCTTTTATTTTTTTGTGTGAGAATAAAAATTCAAAATGGAAAGCAAGAGTAATATAAGAGGGGCGTGGAGACGTGACTAATGTACAGAGAAAATGTTATTTTAGTACCAGGAATGTCTGCCTTGTTTATTCTGGACCCTATTTTGAAACTGGCATCTTTTGAAGTTTGTGTGAAATTGGCCAAATTGCCAAATCCTGACCACTTTATTGGGTAGTTAAAATCAGTAAATGGGCAGTTTCTTGTACTCAGTTGATATAACAAATGGAGTTCTAGCAAAATAGCTATGATTTTAGTTGACTGGAACAATGGAATTGACTGAAAATAGGGCTCAAAGTGGGCAAAATCGCTGATGCGTAAATATTGCAGAGAGTGCTAACTTCACAAGAGTATAATTTCTTAAGTTTTTCATCAAATTTCATACTTTTGGAGTCATTACCATCAGGAAAAGATTCTCTATCATTTCATAAGAATATTTTTTTTTTTAAAAGTTTCAACACAGAGTTAAGGATCAGGGGTCTTGACACTGAAAGGGTTAAAATATTTCTTATAAGGTTTTATGTTTCAGCAGAGAATTAGTATTTTAATAAAACAAAAGAGCAACTTTTTAGGCATGCAAATTTCTATAGTAATGAAGGCAATGTGTTCTAGCTTAAATGCAATACATTCAATATTATAGTTACAAGCATTATCAATAATTGTAGGAAAACCTTAAGAATTTTTGTATTACCATCAGTTTTATATACAGTCTCCCACAAATTTGTGAGGCAGTTATGTTCCTAGAGGTCTTGCAAAGCTAAAACAAAACCATATAAAAAATTATTGCTGAACAACAAAATAGTTAACATTTGGATTCATTGTTTCTCAGAAATTATACAAAGGACATGTTACTCTTACTTGGTTAATACAGACTTTCTTCAGAAATACTGACTAGAACAGAGAAAGATTTGGGAATGAGAAAGAAATACTGGCAGAAAAATACTGGACAACTGAATTTATTCATGAGTAAGAATCAAAAACCTGCAAATAATGAAGCCCATACTGTATAAATAAACAGTATGATATAAATAAACACTTAAATATCACACTGGTGATTATTTACATACTAGTATAAATATCTGATACTCCATGTAAAGTGGAGGCAACTAAAGTGCAGGAAGCAAGGGGACAGTAACCTCTTCTCTTGTATAAATTACTTATTGTAAAAAGAAGGAAAACTTTTATTTCTTCTTCTTTTTGGGGTCACCCTGCCTTGGTAGGAAATGGCTGTCATGATGAAAAAAAAAAATTGATATTGTATATGTATTTTTGGGGGTGGTAAAGTAGGTGTGTGGGACCTGTTAGTCATTTCCTGTATTGTACAAAGTTTATAGGAATGAACTGAAGCTTGTCTTTTGCCCTTCGCTGCTAAACTTTTAGAGTAACTATTGTACTAAACATTTTGTATTTCTTGGCACATATCTGATCTTGAAATGCATTATAGCTACCCAGATGGATAATAACAGTACAGTGGAACCTCCACTTGCAACCGCATCCCCATGTGAGTTTTTTCAAATACCAGCAGTCAATCGGTCGATTTTTTTGCTTCCATACGCAAGCAAAATTTCCATAAGTGAGTGGGCCTCAAGGTGAGGGACTCCTGCTCTTGATCTAGGGAATTGGATCTCATTTGTTTGTTGGACTATCTTATTGAAACTTGGGCAACATATGATGTAAAGATGCTCCTTAACGTACACCAAAAATGAAAGAAATCGGACCATAAATAATGGAATTCACTTCTCAGCAATTAGCCGCCCCTTAGCGGTACTTTCGTATGGTTTTTATGGCTGTATTCTGTTTTTTTTTATCTCATTTGATAGAATGGAAGATATATTACTTTTCACGATGAAAAGTACCTTTAAATTGAATTTAAAGTAACAGAAATGTTCGATTCTTTGGCGATGTTCAAGAGTAAACAAATGATGTCACTGTTCATTCCAATATACAGTCATGAATGGGTTGACATTATTTATACAATTATTACAATATAATGCAGTAGACTGCTGTTATGCAGGGTTCTGCATGACATTGTAATGTATATACAGTAGAGAAAGGTGCCATAATAGTATGAATGTTATAACTGTAAAGCATAATTTTATAATTCAAAATGTGCATTTGGGGGTACTGTAAAGTACTTAAATGGTAAATGTAAGGAAATCCTGCAAGGGATTTATTTTCCAACTGTGTTTTGGTTAGCAGGTAAGTGTGGCTTGGGGCAATCACATGTGGTCAGCATGGCATGGAGGCTGGTGTTGGAGACACCATGTATTTAACCTAAGTTTTGTAGTTGTGTACTCCTTTTGTTTAGCTAACTCAAGCCATAGGCTCTTCTATGGTTTACCTGTATGCTCACCTAGGCTCTGACATGGTCAGGATGCTGTGGGATGAGTGAGGAAATAAGAAATGGGGTCGGTATTGGAGTAGTGAAGGCCTGCCGTTGCTCAGCTAAGTGTTCACGTTTTCCAGGACTCTCCAGCCGCCCGCTTCTTGTGTGCCATTATTTGGGCATTTAGGACAGGCGATATATGAAGGTGTTTTCTACAGTGTGTGTATAGTGTTATGATGAATAAATATATATTTTCCTAACTAGGATTTTTGCCTAACACTCTGTTAACCAACCCACTGAAGTAACAAATGCTGGTTTAGTGCTCTCTGTTTTGACTGGGAGAGCCCTGGGTGGCCTATTTCTGCCTGAGATGTGTGTAACTTTTACCTTTGCCCTTATACAAGGCTTTAGCCCCAGGTAATCCCATTTTTCTGCATAACATCTGCATAACAGTAAATCTTCTATTTTTTGTGAATAAAAATCACAAATTGTTTACATTGTAATAATAATAATAATAACAATAACAATAATAATAATAACAATAATTCATGAAGGATGAGGTTAATCATAGAATTGATGAGGGAAAAAAGGTGAGTGGTGCATTGAGGTATATGTATGTATATGTATATGTATATGTATATGTATATGAATGTATGAAAGTATAGTAGTACCAACACTCTTATATGAGTGTGAAGCTTGGGTGGTAAATGCAGCAGCGAGGAGACGGTTGGAGGCAGTGGAGATGTCCTGCTTAAGGGCAATGTGTGGTGTAAATATTATGCAGAAAATTCGGAGTGTGGAAATTAGGAAAAGGTGTGGAGTTAATAAAAGTATTAGTCAGAGGGCAGAAGAGGGGTTGTTGAGGTGGTTTGGTCATTTAGAGAGAATGGATCAAAGTAGAATGACATGGAATGCATATAAATCTATAGGGGAAGGAAGGCGGGGCAGGGGTCGTCCTTGAAAGGGTTGGAGAGAGGGGGTAAAGGAGGTTTTGTGGGCAAGGGGCTTGGACTTCCAGCAAGCGTGCGTGAGCGTGTTAGATAGGAGTGAATGGAGACGAATGGTACTTGGGACCTGACGATCTGTTGGAGTGTGAGCAGGGATTCAGGGAAACTGGCAGGCCGGACTTGAGTCCTGGAGATGGGAAGTACAGTGCCTGCACTCTAAAGGAGGGGTGTTAATGTTGCAGTATAAAAACTGTAGTGTAAAGCACCCTTCTGGCAAGACAGTGATGGAGTGAATGATGGCGAAAGTTTTTCTTTTTCGGGCCACCCTGCCTTGGTCGGAATCGGCCAGTGTGATAAAAAAAAAAATAATTCAGGGAAACCGGTTATTTTCATATAGTCGGACTTGAGTCCTGGAAATGGGAAGTACAATGCCTGCACTTTAAAGGAGGGGTTTGGGATATTGGCAGTTTGGAGGGATATATTGTGTATCTTTATATGTGTATGCTTCTAAACTGTGTATTCTGAGCACCTCTGCAAAAACAGTGATAATGTGCGAGTGTAGTGAAAGTGTTGAATGATGATTTAAATATTTTCTTTTTGGGGATTTTCTTTCTTTTTTGGGTCACCCTGCCTCGGTGGGAGACGGCCGACTTGTTGAAAGAAAAAAAAAAAAAAACAATAATACATATAATAATAATAATAGTATAATGCAACAATAATAATAATAATAATTATATATATAATACTAATATAAT